GTGAGTATTATGTTTTTAATCCTGCCCTCCTACTATAATCAAAATAAAGCATATTGGTTACCTGCCAGGAGTCAGGTCTGACGCCACAGTACAAGTGCACTGGATTGTTCTTTGGGGCACCCAGGGTAAACTAACACCCAAAAGTCATCCCGAGTTGCCCTTCAAAATCACTTGCAGCTATTCGTTATTTAATCTCTACAGCAATGCTTTTGTGACAAAGGTCAGGATCTCTTTGTAGGCAACCAGGTGGCTGAGGCAAGTGACACAAATGTCAGAGTTTTAGGGCTTCATCCAGCAGTTCAATTTTCATCTCTCTGTTTATTAGACCAAAGTAATAAGGCTTAACCCAACTATGTATTCAAAATGCATCATCATAAAAGATAGATGTCTTGGCTGCAATAAATTTTTTTAAACCAAAAAATAAATAAAGCGATGTTTCATACAGCTGGGGAGTTTGAGTTTATAGAAAAGTATTTGTTGACACAATAGCGATCTTAGCATTAAGAGCTTATATTTCTTAAAAGCTCTTCAGAGCTTAGAACACTCACTAATACACTGGGATGGATGGCGTATAAACGAGCCTACTTCCTACTTTGTTCATCTTTTGTTTTAAATGTTAATCCACAAAAGAAGCCGAGTGAAGTGTTTTCTATGAGAAAAGTATAAAAGCTGAGTTTATAAGTATAAAAAATAAAGACTAGTATAACAACCAGCCCTGAAATAATGGGAAATGGACTGCTGTCAAAAGAACAAGAAAAAAATTAGGAGAAAAGACTGGATTTTTCTACTTTTGATGTGAAAAGGAAAGGGCTGCTTATTTTCATCTGTTTACCCCCGGACTCACCTCTCCCCAGATACGTCGATTCTGAGTTTGAATATTAAATGTCTATCAATGTAGTAGAAATAATGAGATCTATTTGTCTATCTATTTATCTGTCTGTACATATACATTTACATTTAAATTCAAAACATACTATCATTTGATACAATCATTTTTTGAAATGTCAGTGTTTCATTTTATATAAAAAGAGATACAAAAAATTAAGTGAATAAATTAAAAGAAGGGTCAGAAATAATGTGACACAATAATAGTGACACAAAGGACCCCTGGGAGCCATAAAGAACCTTTATCTGTTTCTAAGAAGCCTGCGGCTTGGTTATTTAAGATAAATACTTGTCTCTGCTCTCTTGATCTGCACATTCACAAAGCAATAGACTGGGAAGCAACACACCAACTATCAAGTTCTTTCTTTGCTGCTTAGTAACAGTATACCTTTTGCACAGCCATTGAAATTTTATGTACCTCACTTCAGTCATAGGGAAAATCATGCTATAAACTTTCATTTGTCTTCTATCTTTAAGAGTAAGGGAGAATAAATTAAAATTAAAGAGATTTTTTTCTTTTCTTAAGTTGAATTCAGGAATTTTTCTCATAGCTAATAAATATATTTTCAAGCACAAAGGCCAAACTCCAGTGGCAAACGCATTATCTAACCTTGTATGCATTGTCAAATATTTCCAAGGAGAAATGCAAGCCTGTGTGTCTAGTGTGTGTGTGTGTGTGTGTGTGTGTGTGTGTGTGTGTGTGTATCTGTGGTATTTGCCCACACCGACATATACCTATGAATACAAACTAATATTACAGCATATTGAATATTATAGGAGTAAAAAATCTATACCTCTGATATAAATATTAAGTGTCTTAATTCTATGGGATATTCTATTGGGCTTATAAAATGTATAAGATGTAAATCACAGAATTTGTCAAAATGCAATAGTTCTAATTTGAAAGTGGTTAAAGTCAAAACTTTACAAATGGGCCTGGTCTTACTCTACAACAGATGGATTAAGCAAAGACATTTAAGCTCATAGCCTAAGTGTATAATCATCCTCATTGAGAATAATATCTTTTTAAGGTTGACTGTCCATGACTTGATCTATTTAGCATTGGGAGGAGAGATAAATTAGGAGTTTGCAATTAACACATACACACTACTGTATGTAAAATAAATTACCAACAAGGATCTACTGTATAGCACAGGGAACTCTACTCAATATTTTATAATAACCTATAAGGGAAAAGAATCTGAAAAAAAATAGATATATATGTATGTATAACTGAATCACTTTGCTGTACACCTGAAACTAACACAACATTGTAAATCAAATGTACTTCAATAAGAAAAAAAAGATATAGAGGTGCCTATCCCATCACCTATTGTGAGTGTTACAGAGTTACAGAATCCTGGGTGGTGCCAGGGCCTAGCGGGCAGAGTCACAATAATTTCAGAATTACTTAGATTTGAAATTCCAGAAATTCTATTAAGTCAGAAGTGAGAAATGTGTGAGTCCTCTTGACCACAAAAGTATTCAATGAAATATATTACAGTATTTAAGAGAGAAGGTCCTAAGCCTGCTTGCCTTAGTTTCAACGTCAACTCTGACACTTTCTAACCAAGTGCCTTGGACAAGTTATTTAATATCTCTGTACCTTGAAATCCTTGCTCACTATTGAAAAGATGATGGTAGTCTTTACCTCATAAAGTTAGAATTTTCTATGTGTTCAGGAAAAAAGAATCACTAGCACAGAGGAAGCGTGTGAAGAATGTCTGATGTCTGTTTTTCCACTGAGTGTCCTTCAACAGCCTCTGGACAGTCCTGAGAACAAATAACTAAAGCTCTTCTCTTTGATGTTGTGTTGTATGGACACTACTTTCTACCTCTTTAGTCTGTAGTTTTCTGTGACAAGTTGAGACTTGATAAGATTTCCAGGGCTTTATTTTTCTCCACTTGTGATGAGGGAATTAACTCATTTGATAAAAGTTTACTGAATAAATACTATGTGCCTGAAACTATGGTAGGTACTGTGGATGTATGAATGCTGGTGAAGTTACATGCTACGAAGAAAAATTGCAAGAGTTAGGGAGTGTCAGTTTTCCAATGAGTTAACATTTGAGAAGAGACCTACAGGAAGAGAGTGAATAATCCAGGGATGTATATGAGCCCTGAGTGTTTGAAGGAAAAATAACAGTAAGTGCAAATACCCTGTAGCAAAGTCATGCTTGGTGTGTAGGGCATTGCAAAAGCCAGTATGTCTAGAGCAAAATGAGTAAAGAAGAATGATTGTGAAGCTCCAAGACATGGGATCATGCAGGTTTTTGTAAGAAATGTGGCTTTTACTCTCAGCGTATTGAGAGCATTGAAGAACTGGAGTAGAGAAATATCAACAAACATGGTTTACAAAAAGTGTCTTTGATATGTTGCAAATAGATTGAAAGAGGGCAAGAGCCAATGCAATTAGAAGGCTGTTGCAATAATCCAGGCAAGAAATGATAATATCTTGGATGAGGGTAGCAATGATTAAGATGGTAAAAGAATTTGTATTCTGAGTATACAGCCCTTAGGGACAGAAACAAGGGTGTTTGTTCATAGACTGGATATGGGTTTGAGAGAAACAGGGAGGTTATGGACAACTGCAGTGTTTTTGGTATGAGTATAAGGGAGGATGGAGCTGACTTTAATGAGATGGCAAAATTGTGGGATGGGTGGGGTTTGGGGAATCAGAGAGAATCAGAAATCTCACTGTGAATTTGTTTAAATGTGAGATGACTATTAGATACTTAGTGGGAGTATCAAGGAAGCAGTGAGGTACACTGTCAAGATTTGGTTACTCTGGGAATAAGATCCAAGGGGCAGACTCATCATTGTCATGATGTTTTGGATGTGCCCATGACTTTCATGCATTGACAACATATTGCTGGTCATTTGTCTTGTACAAGTTAGTATGATGATAAATAACAGAAATACCTTTATGTACACCCCACCCAACAAGGTATCAATAGAGCTATAAGAGATCATCTCTGAAAGCATGATGGGCAGCTGCATGGTGTGAGGCAAAGGGACAGCCTTACCAATTATTGGTACCACTTTCCACCACCTCTCCACATTTAGACATTGTTTGCCTTACATTGTATCTCTGAATCCACAGCTCGTTGAATTTCAAGCTCAAACACAATAAGATGTATGGAGTGATTACTGACTCCAAGCAGAAGGAAAAAAATGAAACAAAACAAATGACAAGTTTTGACTATTCAGTTTAGTTAAAATAGTAATCCCCAAGATGAAGTATTTTAAACTAGTTCATTTTGTCCGTCTAAATGTGTTTCTTCCATTACCAGGGCTTACTTTTTTCCTCTGACCTACCTTTGCTTTTAATGTTTTTCTAGTCTGTTTTAAGTACATTTAACTATATGGGAATGGAACTGTGTTTCCTTCTGAGAATTCTGATGACTCATTAGCTGGGTTGATTTCATACACTGCATTAATGTGCTTGTTATTACAAACTATAAGATAAAAGCATGTTTTCTTTTTTATTTAAAAGTTCTTTCTAAATATATACACACATTCATATGCAGCACCTGCAAGCATTAGAATTGCTACACTTTGTATTTCATGCATTTTCCTTTTTTCTGTTGTACCTGTTCTTTGTCTCATTTCATTCTATACCATTTATTTTTAATTAAGGATGCCTCTTTTTCCTCTAGATGGCTGACTCTAAATTCTTCAACTGTTCAAAACCCACTGAACATTTACTAGTACACTGGGATCCATTCTTTGGAATGTTTCTAAAACAATGAATGTTCTATGCACCAAATCAAAATACGCATGCCACTGTCCCTGTACCTCCAAACCTGTTTCTGATTACTGATCAAAATTCCCCTGTTCTTCATTAAAGGCTGAGATTCTTTTTAAATGCTTATTTATGGCTGCCTGTTCCACAGGGGCAGACTATGGATTTAATCGCCTACAGCACCAAATCTCTTTTAACATTTGGCCAACTGAGCATTAGGTACCTTGTTGGCTGGGGGGCAAACACGTTCCTACTTAGTGTTTGGAGAAGGTAGCAGCAATCCAATATGCTTCATTTATTTCCAAGAACTATTAACATTAATGAGCATTACATCCACACATCAAGAAAAGATACAAAATAGAGTCACTGCTTCTCAGACTTTATTAAGCTGGGTATTGCTTTATTCAAGGGATAAGTGTCTAATTTTAGAATGTTCTGTAAAGACAGATGAAAACAAATACATTGTAATTAATAAAAAGTATTGCTTACCTCTTTAGTTGGTAACCCCTATTCAGATACAGCTGTGAGTTTAAAAAGATACTTCTTGGGGTTAAACGAAGAGATAACTAAGTGTACTACAACAGAAAGCAATTCATTAAATGACAATGAATTTTATTTTCTCCTGATACAAGTAAAACAGGCAGGTGTCCACATTCATTTTGTATCTTCTTTTGTGACTGCAATATACCACAAAAGGTTTTCACTTAAATTTAATTTTTGTTACATGATTCATATTATATTGCTTGCTGTATGTGTTTAAATGCTTTAAGCTCTGCATCTACAATATAAAATTTAAAAGAAGTTTTTCCTCTTGGAAATGTCAGGGTTTTTTTTTCCCCCTAAATCCAGAGTATGTTTTCAAGGTCTCTTCTAAAATGATAACCTTCATATGAGTCACAGGAAGCTAAGAACATCTCTGGATTAGTCTGGCTTCAGTGAGGTTAAACGCAGCAACAGTATGCCTACAAAGAGATACGATAGGCAGTTATAATGGGTATCACTCAACACAGCACCAAATATAAATCAAAACTAACAAATGCCCTCCCCCACAAATGCTCTCAAGTTCAGTTCCTTGAATTTAATTATTATAGCAAATGGTAATATAACAAGAGTGTCTACTGTCAGGGAAAAAAATGTTTAAAACAGATGTGAACCATACAAAGCATATGTAAAACACATGTGATCCACAGTGAGGTCACAGGACCCATTGACAGAACACATGTGGAGTACGTGAACCACATATGGACACATGTTGCAAAATCACATGTTTCTGTTCAATGCCAAGACTCGTATCGTATTCTAAAGAAATCAGGGGCTCTTAAATAAACTTTGTACTTCTTAAGGTAAATGGATACCTTTTTGTTTAAAATCCCTTAGTGTAGGCAGACAAGGGTCCTCAAATCTAATACTGGGCTTGAAAGTACTCAAATCCTTGTTTCACTCCTGTTTTCCTATCCCAGGGTGATTCAGTTGATTATTCTCAGGGAATAAAGATTTCTTCCTTGCCCACAGCTAATTCTTTGAGGATGCCATAGCTTATAATGAAACCTAAGCAAACAGAGCCTAAGTGTGTGAATTAGGAGCAACTGTGGTTTGAATGAGCTTTTTCTTTCCTAAAACACTCAAACTAGCAAGACATTGCTGCCTTATCTTATGTATCTGAAATAGAATTAAAATCTTCTATACTTACAAAAAATCATCAGCATAAAAATCCCAGAATAACATTTATTTTATCTTATAATTTGGGGGAATAAAATATTAACCATATAATTTAAAGTGAATATGAAAAGTCTCATATATACATGGAAATAAGCACAAGTATATCATTTTCTAGTGTGAAAACAGTAACAGTGCCTTATGCACAGGCATTAATTTAATTAGACTCAATATATTATTTCATTTGGTCCTCCTCACAGCCCTGAAGAAATGTAGTGCAACTAGAATTCAGTAAGGCAACTACATGGTATTTAAAAAGAACCTAAGAGAGTGGCATGGACATATATACACCACCAAATGTAAAATAGATAGCTAGTGGGAAGCAGCCGCATAGCACAGGAAGATCAGCTCGGTGCTTTGTGACCACCTAGAGGGTGGGATAGAGAGGGTGGGAGGGAGATGCAAGATCCCCCATATATGGGGATATATGTATATGTATAGCTGATCCACTTTGTTATACAGCAGAAACTAACACACCATTGTAAAACAATTATACTCCAATAAAGGTGTTAAAAAAAAAAAAAAAGAACCTAAGATATAAGAACAAATGAGAGAAGTAAAAGTTCTTCTCCCTGAGCTGTTAAACTGTGGCTTCCAACAAGTGATACACTTTTTTTGAGGTTCGGTTTTTAATAAAGAAACATGGGGATTATACAATTGCTAACTTAATATGTTTGCTGTAAATTACCCAACTATTATATGCAAAATCATATTGTAAATGCAAAGATATTGTATGTATAGGTGTTAGCTATTTCCACTGACAATTTACACATGAGAAACACTGAGATTCAGAAAGGTAAGCCGATTGTCACATGACTAATAATTAGTAGGCCTAAGATAAGAAAATAGATAGTTTTGCTTAAGAGTCCCCCATTCTCTTCCAAAAGGCAAAGCTAAGCAGAATATATTTCTCATTACAGGACATTCATTCTGCCTCTACCTCAATAGACAAGCATTGATATCACAGATAATCATTACTATAATAATGCCACATTCACATTTATAGCATTTTACATTTTCAATGTAAAGCATGATCCAGTGAGCATTTGTCTCTTCCATTTCAGGGAAATTACCTCCTTTCTAAAGATTACTAAATTAAGGTTCTAAGAACACAGTAAATAGGTTGCTTGAATTCATATGCTTGTTAAGAAACAAAACTAAGAATCTAATTCAAGAGATGAAATTTGAAGTCCAGTAATTATTTTCCATTAAACTAAAATTTTAAATATATAATTGGCAGGCTCTCAATATTGTGTTTTTGTATAATTATATCCAAAACAATGTTTCTAATGATGCTGCTATTAAAAATGAGTGTATGATGGAAGAAAATCACGGCATTAGAAGGAGAAATTTTACCACTGAATGAAATGAAAGATTTTCCTTTGTTACTGATTTTGGCAAAATGCAGTCAGTAGACTATCCAGCATGGCCTGAAAAGACAGAGCTCCAAGCTGCTTACTGACTTCAGATGTATCCGTTACCTATTGTTTATTGTTGTTTTTGAAAGTGTCATTCTATTATACCTTAAGATTTTAAAAATATTTTTCTTAGAAACATTTTTTTAGCTGTAATTTCTTTGTTAGCATGACTTTCCCCTTTAAACCTGGCTCACTGCCATCCACACTTCAAGACAGAATTCTGATATCACTTCTGTGAACCCTTCCTGGAGGATCCTAGACAGAATTGTTTCCATCTTTCCATTGTACTTGCTGCATTGTGTTACAGTGGATTATTTGCATGTCTACGTTTTATCTCTGCTAGTCTGAAAATTCCTCAAGAGTGGAGTCATTATTTTTATTAACTTTGTATCCACAATGTTTTGTAAAGCTATTTAAAATGGCAATTCTGAGGAAGTAGAAAATAAGTGAATGAATGAATGAATGATATATTGCTGCTTTTCCTTTTTGGAATTAGTTGACTTAGAGGCTTACACACTCAGTTCAGGTGCAATGTCTTGGCCAGCCACATACCGTACTAAACTATTTCCACCCTAAAAGAAAATATTATAATTCAAATAGCCACTGGATTTTTGTTCATTCCTATTAAATTTTCTATTTATGAAACATCCCTTCAAATAATCAGCTAGCGAAGTAGTGTGCCTCTTCTTTTAGACGATTCTATATTACATGTATTATAATTTTTCATGAGACACTCCCCCTGACACTAGAAAGAATCTTTATGTCAGACTAACATAGAGAATTGTAGACAATATCACTACACTGGGTCTGGAATTATTTTTCTGGATTTTGACACTAGATTATACACACGCTTTTATCATACGCTGCATCTCCGTTGGAAATACAAAGAAAAGGGGTAATCTTTTGTCATTCCAATTTGCCACCAGCCATTGACATTTCTCTATTAGAGACGTGGAGCTGAAAATGTGAGTCTCACCCCTTTTTGTCTTATCTTAATGAGCCACGAGGAATGAGAATCACTCAATATTTTGGCTGTACAGTCTCTACCATGTGCAAGGCAGACATGGTGTCAGCCAGCACTCCAAAGGGTATGCAGATCTTGCATGCTTTCACATTTGATCAATACAAATCTGACAGTCTGCTACTTAGTTTCTTCCAAGGCTGGGTCTCACACATGAAAACAGGAGTAAGGTTTTCAACTCAATCAAAACTGATTGTTCTATTCCTCTCTTCCCATCTAATCCTCTCCCCATCTACGCACATCCACCAGACACAAATATGACAAATATGTTTTAAAATCCTTTCTTGTATATAAGGTGAGGTCCAAACTACTTTTGTACACAGACATGTTTTGTTCAATCTAGACTCTTACCTATCTCATCATGGTTACCTTTAACCACTTTTTTTCTGCCCCTTCTTATTCACCTTTATTCTCCAGCCACATGAAGTTCTTACAGCTTTTGAAACATGATATCTATGTGATTTGCCTGACTTGTCCTATCTCTACCTCTGCTTGTAAAAATCCTTACTGATCCTTCAAAAATCAACTGAAATATCATAGAATATCTTCCTTTTCATGCTTTCAGAGCACCTTTTATTACTTCTCTGGAAGAAACTGTCACTTTGTAATAAAATTATTTGCTTATGCACCCTATTTTGCACAAGATTGGTGAATTTATGAAGGTAATATCATATGTGTATTTCCTATACCTCTACATTCACCCACTGGTTAAAATAGTATATGGTAAGAGCTTGACAGATTAAAAGGAGCAATGGAGGGGAGGGAGTAGCTGATCTTATTTCAAAAGGAGCCATTAATGCACACATCTCAAAATAGGCTTTGAAATCAAATATAGAATTTGTCCTTCTTAATCTTTAGAGATTCTTTTTTAGATAAGGATGCACCTGAAGACAAGGAATATACTGTGGATTCTGAATGTCTGTTTCCATCTTATAGAGCAGCTGCTTATAGAGCATCTTATAGAGCAGTTTCCCCTTATAGAGGGGTTTTAGGTACCCCGGTTACTGCAACAGTTAATGATTCTTAGCTTCTATTTTTATTATGACATGATCAGCTCCCAATAATAATACTTGTATTTATCATTTTTCTTTGTGTTCTTTATTATCAAAGCTGATTTATCACTGAATTTTGGTTTCCTTATGCAATCAGGAGAGTGGCCCCCATGAATACAACTTGGGATGATATCAGCCAAATGTAGCATAACATGAAGTCACATCACATATCTAATAAAAAAAAAAATCAATACTAAGCACGTGAAATATACAAGTTGCCCTGGAAAAGAGTAACTCTCGAAACAACTGTGAGATCTTAATTAGTAAAAGGAAATCTTGAAGAACACTTATGAATAGTTAAAGCTTTATTTGTGTTATGGTTTTCTAATGATGTGGATGCAAAATATAGTGTGAATGTGAAACAGTTTTGATCTCTGAGGACCTCGCAAAGATAGGACTATCCTCCTAAAGAGAGAGAATAGTGTGTAGTCTCCATACTGCGTGTTACATCTCAAGAGAACTTTCCACTCTGCCCAAAATAACACATGCATACATACACACACACACAGACACACACAGACACACACACACACACACACACACACTCACTTGGACATTCCCTTTATTTCTGAAAGTCACTTTGAGGTTTTAGTTTAAGCCAAATAGGCTAAGTGCATTTCTTAAAATCTCAAAAGCCCAGAGGAGAAGTGACCTTTAGTCCCTGGAAGGATGAATGAATTTATGTTTCAGAGACAATTTTGCTTAGGGAGCAGGGCTGAGAAAGGGCATAACAGGGATGGAGGAAGAACAGGTAA